AGACCTGGGGACTCTCTGGAATGTGAGACCCGACCGGGTCAGGTGAAGGACCCGACCGGGTCAGATGATCGATGAGCTTCTGTTTTGGAAACCCGACCTGGTTTCAAGCCCGGGTATGACTTTTGTGAAGAGACCCGACCGGGTCAAATAAGAGACCCGACCGGGTCGACGGGAATTTCCTAATTACGAGCTTAATTTTGGGCCTGCGGCTCTAATCTTTGTTTAGGTTTTCTTAAGCCTATAAAAACGACTCTTATGCATCTGTAAACCCTGAGCGACGCTGATAATAATACATCCTCTCTCTCGTTCGCCGTGGACTAGCACAATCAACCTGATTGTGTGAACCACGTTAATTCTTGTATTCTTGCTCTTAATTTATCGTTTATCTTTGCCTAATCGTAACACATATAGCATGTGAAATAATCCATATTTTTTCATTGATGAAATATGTTAGATATTCCGGGGCTTAGAATTGCTTAGTCAGTGTGGTAAGAGTTGAGGTAGGCCATGAGCCATTGATGTTCATCTTCCTCCCTTTACAACTCTTCTCTTTAATGTACTCCGATATTTCTTTTGTGGTAGAAACAATTCTTTTTATTAAATTGGCACTTTAATTGAAGGTAGGTTACTCTTTGAGCACTAAAAAAGTGGACACTTATCATCTACCTAGGCAAGATTTTAAGTTGTGCTAATATAGCTAGACAATTCATGCTCCTTCTCAAGATGATATCCCATCTACTCTTTTTATTCACGAAGTATATAAGTATATTTCAAGTTGCAGGCATGGTCGGGGTGCATGTTTTTAACAACCGATCAAGACATTAAAGAAGGATTTATCAAAGTTAGGGGTGGGAAAAACCGAACCGAAACCCGGAAACCGACCCTGGACCGACCCGAATTATGATCCCGGTCCGGGTTTTTTCTTTTTAACCGGCCCGAATTTAAAAAAACCCGGACCGAACCGAAAATTCCGGGCTCATTAACGGGCCTTAAAATCTATAACCCGGCCCGGACCGAAAAACCCGAAACAATTACTTTTAATATTAAATTAATATAGTATATGAATATAAATAAAATATTTCCTAATATATGATTATAATCACGGTGGATAAAAAAATTTAGTAACTTTTAGTGACTACAAATATGTTGAATTTGTTTAGCGTAATGATGACCATGAGAATATATTTATAGCAACTCTAGTAACGTTTTGATTTATAAAATTTATTTCGTAATATTTTTAAGAAACCTATATTATTTATATATATACATCTTACATAAAATATTAAGATAATTATCTTCTTTAAATTTGAATTGTTGGTGATTTTGGAGACTAAAATTTGTGTTATTATTTGCGGTTTGTATTTTTGATTAATTTTATTTGAAAATACGTGTTAAAATATAAAACAATGACATATTTCACGGCCGGGCTTTAACCGGTCCAACCCGAACCCGGACCGAACCCGAGCTACCAAAAACCCGACTCGGACCGAATATAATGGGCTTTGTTCCGGTCCCTAATTTTCATAACCCGAGACCTTCCGGGTAATTTTCGGGTTTAGCAAAAACCCGACCCAGACCGGACCGATCCCACCCCTAATCAAAGTGACTTTCTATTGTGCCGCAGTGCCCGATAAGGCCGATATCAGTTCCAGGGGATATATTTTAATGGCAGACGTGAACTGTATTAATTTTTATGAGTACACTTAGTTAAATGTTATTGGTACTCCATATTACTTTTGTGCTGTTATTATAAGGGATACTATGTCCCTAATAAATGATGTATTATCCTTTAAGATGTTTTCTTTTGGACGATTTTCAGTCCTAGACCAAGTTAGACCAAACCAGACCAGAGTTTCGTAATTCGTAGTTATAAAATACACAGAGACCAAACGTTTACCAGACCAGTTCAGACCAAATCAGACCAGATCAAACCCACAAATTTCAGTCCAAAAAAAACAACCTTAGTACTATAAATGAATGAAGTGTTTTTATTATTGTTTTTCCCTTAAAAATTTGTGGAATTCAAAATTTTCAACTATACGTCTACCTAAATGAAAAACTATTTGTATACATCATTTTAAGGAATTTACTCCCTTCATATAAAATTCTTCCTGATTCGACTTGGATCAGAGTTTACGAAAGAGAGAATAATGAAGAAAAGTATTGGTATGATTGAGTAAGAAAATTATAAATGAATATCAGCCACACAAAACCTCCCAAAAAGGGGATTGAGAAGAATTTTCGGGACATTTCAAAAAGGTGAGGGAAAAGAGTTTTAGGAGACAAAGGGAGTATTAGAAAAGAGTCAAATATATTCTTCTACTATTTTCAATGTATCATAAAAGTGTTTATACATTTTTTGCTCAAAGGGGGCTTAATTCATAGAAATAGCATTCAGCAAGGGTACAAAAATAGAAAAGAACCACAAATAACCATCCGCCCGTGGCCGAGACTGAGAGTTAACCACCTGTAAAAAAGCAGTATAACTCGCTAGACCAAAATTAGGCAACTTAAAGCCAATGACGGTTATCACATACCTTCCATCCCCCAACCTAATGCAAGAGTCTTACAAAAATTGAGAACACAAAAGGAAACCAGAACATAGCATCTGAAATAAAAGTAAATAAAACAGACAATAAAAATAACATCATCACTTGATTTCTTCACCAACACCAGCATATGAAAACACGGCGGGTCTAAGAGACTTGACCCGTCGCCTCCCCATATTTTGGCCCATCCAGAGCCATTCCTTCACCAGCGGTGTCCTCTTTGGACTGATTATCCCATATCCTTCTGCGCTTGGTATCTCGAGGAGTCTCATCCTTGTCCTCTTTCTCATTATGTGCTGGCCTGCTAGTCTTGGACTCAGCCGAAACCTCTCCCCCGAGATCAGCCTTCCGCTGCACTCCATATCCATCTGAGCTAGAAGCTCCATTAGATAACCATTTGTTGTCTCCTGTCGAGCTAGTCTTCGCCCTTCCTCTTGCTCTAAGTCCCACCCCATAGGTTTTTCAGCTACAAAGCCCTCCTCATACTTTAATGGACATAATTTATCAGAATGTCCGATTATACCACAGATAAAACAAAAGCTAGGGAGCTTTTCGTATTTAAAATCCACACAATGCTTCACCCCATCTTGTGTCAAATTTGTGCCTTTCTTCAAAGGTTGACGCACATCCAGACACACCCTTATACGCAAGTAAGAACTCTGCTTTCCATCAAACTGGCTCATCTCAAACTTAATGAAAGAGCCTAAAAAATTACCAATTTTCCTGGCAGATCTCAAATTTCTATATTTTATAGGGGCATTATGAACCTGTACCCAAAAACTGGCCTCAAATTAATTCATCATTCAGGTATATCATCTGACTGAACCATTTTCAACAAAATTAAATCACGCTCAAAAAGCCAAGGGCCATCCTCAATCACATGGTTCATATCCAAAACATGATTAAAGTTTAGCAAATACCTTCGCTCGCCGATCTCTTTGATAGACATACCTTTCCCTGGTTTCCAGATTGAAGTCATCAGCTCTTGAAACCCAACTTGATCTTACGGTCGGTGATGACAACCCCAACCACCGGAAAGCCCGCCGGTTCCATCTCCTCCTCGTCTGCCTCCTCATCGAAATTAAGCTCGCTTTCGTGATCCTCCATTGACATCTTATACGAATTGACAATGTCCTCCATGCAGTAACCTTCCTCGGACAAATCGGCTACCGCGACCTACTTCTCGAACCAAGCCCTGATGTGAAAGCTTTCGCTTTGCCTGAGTCTTCCCCCCTGCGTCGCTGCTACCTATTCTCGATCCTCGGTGGGATACCGAGATCGGAAGTACCAACCCTAGCGGCCGAGCCCTAGGGAGAAATGAAGATGTAGAGAGAAGAGTCTCTTGTTTTTAAGTCTTTATACTTAAAAAACAATCATATAAGTATGTTTATTTATAAAATACAATCAATCAAGCCATTTTGACCAATATATAAATAAAACTAAAAAATGTACAAATAAATATAAAACTAAAAAATGTAAAACCTTTTAAATAGATATAGGATATACATACAATTTCAAAAAAGAAAGAATAATGACTTTGCCATTCTTAAAATTTCACAATATTTATTTATGTTTCTTTAAATTTTCACAATTTTTTTAGATTTTCGAAAAACTACTATTACAAGTCAAAATGGATTAATTGGCCGGCTGAACCACTATATAAAATAAGCGTACAGATATGATACATTTTTAAATATAGGTTTAAGTGTAAGATTGGAAATAATAAAATGGCCTATTTGACCATTTTCCCAGAATTTAAGAATTAAAAATCTCGACCCGTGCAACGCACGGGTAAAAAATCTAGTTGGTATATAAATCAAACCAGTTTTATACTCCCTCCGTTCTTTATTATTAGTCATCCATTACATTTTGGGTTGTTTTTTTAATTTGTCATCCTTTCCATTTAAGAAAAGTTTTTACACTCAATATACCTTTATACCCCCCACTTTTATTATCATTACCCATTTCTCTTTCCTACTTTTTCATTTACCTACTACTCATTACACCTTTTACACTACCCTTATTATTTTCCTCTTAAAATCCGTGTCAAAGCCTAAGAGGACTAATATTAAAGAGGAGTATTAGACAAATGGCAACTTATGCTTTTGATTATTGTTTTTTTATTTACTACCATTGTTCTAAAACTCACTAGGCGCTAGTCGGGCGGTTGAGGGGCGCCTAGCGCCTAGGCGGCCGACTAGGCCGATTTTTTGGCCGAATAGGCCGATTTTTTGGCCGACTAGGCCGATTCATCCTCTACGGTTAGGGCCGACTAGGCCGCCTAGACCGATTAATCGGTCCGCCTAGGCCGATTTTTAGAACAATGTTTACTACCAAATGTTTTAGTTTTCTTTGTATTTGTATTAGTTTTTTGTTTTTTAATTAATACTACGTATTTTTTAAGGATCTTCCAAAAAAAATTAAGGAAGACAGAAGACACAATAAATTGATCGATTTTTGGTTAATTCGTCATTTAATGCTTTTTCTTCAAGAAATACCCAATCTGGGTGAAACTAGAATATAGCCTTTGCCCTTTGGGAAGGGGTTTTGATAGTTAAAATACAGCCATCAGCCCATCACAATGTTTTCCATGTTCAAAAACTCCCACAACCCCAGGCCCCAGCGAAGCAAGTTTCAATTCTCAAACCACAGAAATAAGTAATACTCATGTGTATTTTCTACAGTTAATAACATACAATAATCCCCAAGCATTCAAAGTTGCGGCACCCAAAATAACAAAATTAGCAAAAACTTTTTGATTGACTTAAAATGGGCGATGGATACAAAACATAAGAAAAGCACTTCATCATTCGTCAATCAGCTTGTCAATTGATACAGCGTCCAGTTCCTCAGTGCTCAATGGTCGATGAAGCTGCAATAGTAAATACTTTTCAACTATCAAGAACATCCCAAGGCATGCCAAAAAAACAAATCTAAACGCCAAATGAGCCCATTTAGTATTTGCTTTATTCAACATATAAACCATATTTTCTACCAAACTACCTTATGTGATAATATTACATTTAGCATCTTATAATATAAAAAGAACTGCAATAATTACTTGTTTAGGCTGATAACTGTTTTGAAAAATAACATTTGAAATGTATTTTTAGACAATTCAGCCAAAAATTGAACATATTCTGTCATTTCAGCGAAACATGTCAGCATTGCTCTGAACTCAGGATCAGTTTTTGGCATGGATCAATGGATCAATATTGGAATCAGGGGTCACTAATTGAACCAAATGACCTGGTTGATGTAAGAAAAATCCCAAAGCATGCCTTAATATGACCTACGTACTATATATAATTCACTAATATTTTCTCATAAATATGATAAGTATCTCGCTATTTTGTATGCACTGAAATATAAACAGACGAAGGTCTGACAGAGTACAATAAGAATCTACAATCGATCGTTTAAGTTCATGCTCGAAGACATTAAAGCTATTACCTTCATCTCTCGATTGCATTCTCATTCTGGCTTTAAAAATCTATAATTATTTATTATTTCAATAATACTTTGTGAGTATTAAAACAATAGACGACGACAACAACCTACTGATCAAATTTTGTTTTACAACAGTTGAATTCAATTTGAAATTGGACATCTAAAAACTAAGTTTATAAACAAAGACAGCTACTGTGGAGACACAGTGTAACAGCAGCCATCGTACGAGGTGGTAAATGTGGAAGATGCTACTAACAGTACACCTACAACTACTACCACACTACTAATGTTGTCACTATTTGTATAGAAAATATTGAAGGTGATATTTTTTGTATTTATAGATTTTGCCAGATAGTGTTATGTAACCTTTCCCATAAAACAAATAATTGAAAAGAATTTTCATGTTATAAAATAAATAATTATTGAATAACAAGTAATATAAGTTAACAAACTTTGACCCTAAATGTCAAAGTGACACACACACTAATTAGCCAATTTATGGGATGTTGGGAGATATAGTCCATTGAGAACATGAGTGTGAGATGGAGATCTTATGTTTGAAATACACACGCATAAACTACTTTGGGTGGTCAAGAAGATGTGTGGGTTAGCGGTCTGACTAACACTGCCTTTTGGTTTTAGTAGGGTGTCTCACAGTCACTGTTATTTTAAGAGAGGAGTTCCAACATATGAATGGAACTAGCAAAGTACGCACTAGGTGCGATGGATGCCCAACATGTGATTGAAAAGCAATTGGATTTTCACATTCTCTACAAAATTTCCATAAAAATGTTTTGGTATAATAATTATTTTTCATAATATTTTTTTAAAAATAAATAAAACAAACATCATAAAAATGAAAACATGTTTTGGACTTTGGTGTTTGAAAGCTTTTTTTATCTTTAGAAAATCAGCTATGAAGAACGAGCACTTCGAGCCTTTAAAATATGAATAATAAATTTCAAAGGATGAGTTCTTGGTCAAGGACTCTACAATACACTAAACACTCTTATAATAGGGAGAGCGAGGGGACACTTAAAAAATTAATTTATTTCTTATTGAAAAAATAAGAGAAAAACATGTGTAAAATGTGCACACCACTATGCAAATTTGACCTTACATATTTCTCTCCAATTGTAAGTGAAAATTGTACCCATCCAATTGTGCCTATTTTTATGAAGATAGTGCAGGTTGTATGTACCCCGATGAAAATATTCATGTATACAGAACAAATTAGGATGGAAGGGCTCATACTATATATTTATGTCAACACCAAGAATGTTGCTTTTCACACCCCCTTTCTTCTCGTTCTTGCACATTCAGCAGTTTCCAATAAATATCATGATTTACATCTCCACAGTGTATGGTCAGTCATATATGCAGGTGGAATTGGATAATGGAATGAAATAAAACAATTTGATTTGATAGTGCCAATTGGCTTTTAATTTAAAACAAGATTCTGTAGTTGATAAGAAAATGACTTAGCTAGGATCCTTAATGCAAAATTACATTTACAGAAATATTATATTTATGCTAAATCTCAATTCCCTAGGTAGATTCATTATTGAAAAATATGCCATTTCATTTTCTTCATAAAGTTGAGAAAGCATCCTCCTAGACAAAGGAAGCGAAGGAATGACATCGATCTCAAAATTTTCTACACAAACAAACTCAAAGCAGGAAGAAAGTATATTTTAAGTGTTGTAGTTGAGTTAAAAGTATACTCTGTACTCTCATTATATGAGTCGTATAATGTAACAAATGTGTTTCATATGGAGTAAAAAGAATTGATCAAAATAAAACAGGTCATATAAAATCAATCTCGATTATAGTCTACCTTTTAGACATAATGTCTAAAAGAGCAAAAGATTGTCTGGTTTGATCTAAACAAACACTTGTGAGTGAACCATGTTTTATAAACAATTTGCAAAGAAGGCATGTAATGCTCCAAAAATTATATAATCAGCAACAAAACCTAAACAAAGAAATGTCTGATTAACATTTGCATAGCATTTTCTTAAAAAAGCAGCATCTCAAAATGTTGAAATACTTACCATTAGATTCTTGGGTTAATTTTAGTGGTAATATCAGTATAGCTTTGTTAAGAAAAATATATAACAAAAGGTATAAATTTTTATTCTCAATTTGTATATAGTACTCCCTCCGTCCCCCTAACAATGGAACAAGAGGGAGTGACACGCAAATTAATAAAAAGTGGTTTATGTGGTTGATATTGAATTGATAAAGTAAAAATAAAGTAAGGATGATTTAGAGCCACACAATTGTTACCAAATTTGGTATGGGACAATCTTAGTGGGACGGACAGGTAAAACGGGACAATCATAGCAGGACGGAGGAAGTACATATTATAAGTTCATAACATAAGTACAAAACATACATGTCGCTTAATTAAACAAAGAAGCAAGAAAACATTCTTTGTTTTTATATAGTTATATAAATTTATTAGAAAAAACAATTTAGTTCTATACAAGGGTCAGATGATTTATTAAGATTATGAAAGAGATTGTTTGAAGAGAACCTTGGTGCACCGGTTAAGTGTTGTTGTGTGACCGAAAGTCACGGTTTCATTCTTGGTAACGGCCTCTTGTCAATAAATTCGACAGGGAAGGCTTGGTGGCTGTTATACACACTTGTGGTGGGGTCTTTCCTCAACCCTCGCCTTACGGAGATGTCTTCATGCACTGAACTGCCTTTTTTTTATGAAAGAGGTTCTTTGGAATAGAGCTACGTTGGATTTTCTTTCAAAAACTGAAAATGTATTATGTACTGAATCTCGTCTTCAGATAGTTAGTTAGTCTTGTAACTCACCTTTGACTACAAAATGACAGGCCTAAAAAAGATGCATTTGGAATTTAGAGGCGTAAAAAAATTATTTTGTTTGGAAGCATAGTAGTCAATGGCTAGATATGGCGCGCGCCATATGCGCCATCGCCATGAAAAAGTAGTCGTCGCCATAGCGCCATATGCGCTATATGCGCCGTTCGTATATGCGCCATCGCCATGCGCCATGAAAAATGCCTTTGAGCCATGGCGATCGCCATGCGCCATGACAACTGTGTTTGGAAGCCAAAAGTAACGGCTATAGGAATGGTGACCAAGTGTCTTTACCCATTGGCTTTGTTTGTATTGATTGAATACAATCATATTTGTAGAGTTCTCTAAAGAAAGATTTTAATTTTTTTACACTAAACACATACGAAGTATTTATGGCAAGTGCCTTTGTTTTATATGAGGTCAAAATTCAGAAAACTACAGAAATCATAAATATAAGTCTTATTATTTAGTAGAAACAATCTTAAAGTAGTAGTGTTATACCACAAATACCAATGAAAAGCCTAGAGTTCGGTGTTCAAAAGACTGGAATTTTTTAAGGGAATCAAATTTCAAAGTGCAGAATGTTACAGGTGGGTAAAAAGCTTTTGTAAATGAACAAAATGAGAAACCTATATGAAAAGATTCATAGTAGACTTGGTACTGAAATCAGATGAATGGCAGCAACCTTAAATATCACACACCCTAATACTGTTTGCTTAACTTTTTGCAAAAACAAAAACAGTTTCAGTATATAAAGAATGCTATTATTAACCCATTTCAATAATTTGAGATTCTTTTTGCAAATGTTAAGCTAAGAAAAATTAATACGACTTTTTTTAAAATGTAAATAGGTTAATATTAAAATGATAAGATAATAGAAAATTACAACCAAATAAAACTCCACGACTTGAGAAACAACCCTAGGATTAGATAAAGAGCTGATTACCCCCTGAGGAGCAAAATGATTCGCTTACCACTTAATGGGAAGACTTGAGCCAATCATGATCAACCTAGTCTTCTTGTTGTAAATATGAAGACAACTTAAAAAAGTGAACCAAAAAACTACATCAAACTAATTGCAATGAAAGCAATAAAACAAAAGCAAAATAATCCAGATTTTTTTCACTTTTTTAATATGACTCTTTTACTGCAGTTTTTTCACTTTTATCTTTCCAATTCAATGTGTTTTGCCCACTTGTAACTATGTGCACTCTGACATTTGATTTGATAAACACATGCAATCTTTTGAACACCGAACTATTGTATTTGCATTGTTTTTTGTCGTAAAACATTGTTTCAAGATGGTTGATAATCAATAATAGGACCTTGATTCTCTTTTTTAGTGGAGAATGCTATTGAGATTCATCTAAACATGTCAGAATGATATATTGTCTTATATAAGAGACTTCTTTTAAAGGAACCACTTGAGTGAATTTTCAAAAACTGAAAAAGTATGAAGTCCCAAAGTCCATTCACTAGAAAGTTATTGCTAGTTCATGTGACTTATTAAAATTATTTCTTGCCAAATTCAAGAGTTGAGTAAGAGTATGCTAATTTTAATATGTGGTGAAACTTAAGCCAAACTTAAGGGAGTGGCGAATTAAAAGAAATATTATGGTAGTTTTATTGAAGAGATTATTTCAAGATTACAGACAGCCATTTACAAAGGCATTTTATTGAACAGCTTATGAACACAGTATTTGTGTGAAGTAGAAGATATTTGATCATATCTATAATCGCAGGTTGAAGATGAGGAGAAGGAGACGTAGTTATAGTAAATACATTTTAAGGCAACAAAATCAATTGCAATGGTATTTTAAATCGGAAGCAATTTACTGTTAATTAACAAGAACATGAACACATGGAAGTTTCTGTTGCAAGGAGTAATTCAAAAGATGTGAAAATGAATATAGATGAATGATCAAAGGAGGAAGAGATACAGAGGAAGTTAACATGTCTTTCTGATATATGACGGTATGCAACTTGTACTGTCGAACCGGTATGGGAAGTTATTTGGGGTTGAATAAATGCACTCAGAAGGAATGGATGCAAACAGCCAGTAACCGTTCTGTTAACCCGTAAACAATGCCGTTGGAGGAATGGACGGAAAAATGAAAAGTTAGATGGAAAAAGAACCATGGTAACATTAATTGTCCTTATTATATAAGCAAAGATATATTATAACTGAGGACTAAGGAGAACCTCTGCACCCAGACAGTCCTAGTAATGTACGAAGTATTGACAATGTTCAACCCAAGAGAAAGCAAGATATATGAAAATAAGAAAGAACTTACTGATAATAGATGAGAACTTACTGCTTTTGCAATATCAAACATGTGAAATGTACGCGGTAAAGCATCATTGTGTGAGGGAAGGGTATCATGATTCCAATATGTTAGGTTTTGGAATTTTGCCTTCACCTCCCAACAGTTTGAGCTTTTCTCAGACATGCTTCCTTTTCCATCAGGTTTTTTCTTTCCCAAGACATATCCTGAAGGAATAATACAAAGAACAAAAAGGCCAAAATGAAGAAATCAGAAGGATGGATGTTCTGTTTGACTAATACAAACCCCAACTAGTCTAATATGTGAGCATAAAGAACATACCTTTGACAGTGAATGTTATTTATTTTAAAGGCAGTGAATGATCACAACAGCATGTGCATCTAATTTAAAAGAAAAGAACACCATGTCCATTATACATGATTGTGGACTATTACTAATCTACTTATTGAATCTTAGCTATTTATGAAGTACTTGCTTCAATAACCTAAAGGTATTTTCACATAGGTTGAGACTGGACTATGCAATCGTCATTGACTCTGCATATTATTTAGGCAGAACAGCTACTAGAAAACAGAGGGAACTACCAGAATAGCCTTGCGGAATCGGAATTGTGGTGCCCTGGAGCTTCCTTCCTCGAAAATGAGCTTCCTCTACGCTTAGCCCATCAAATACGACCTCTTCACGTCCAAATCAAAATTTGAAACAGACAATATGTGGATTGATCATCACATATCTTTACATTATGAAATGAGGGCAGAAAACTTTGGGCGGTTCATTCATACCAGTAGGTTTGGGTCTGAAGTAGTTAGAAACTTCAGAAGAACCATTGTACTTGATACAGCAAGGCAGCTGATGCACCCTGCTGGTCAAATCCACCGCAGAGCAAAGATTGCCGGATAAATCAACTGTCCCCGACGTCCTTCGGTCTATAGTTTCCTCCATTGCTCTGGAACTGAAATTGGAAATGACATACAAAAGCCCTAATTTCCCGGTGCGCTTTAATTTCAAAACCCGGCCGGACTGAAATAGGTTCCGACGTTCCGTTACTTGAAGTAGTTGGTTCGGTCCAATTTTTACAACAGAAAAACAAAACAAAAAACTAAGGGCCTGTTTACTAACAGAAATAGTTTTCTGTTTTCATTTTCCAGTTTTTTGTTCTCCAAATCAGAAAACATGTTTACCAGAGGTTTCCAGGGAGAGAACAGAGCAAGGACTGTAAAACTGTAAAACTGAAAAATTTGTAAATCAGGCTATTTTTAAGAATCTATGACATACTTTTGAAATTTTATAGATTCTTATATCACTGAAAATAAAAACCGTAAGCTAGATGACATAATAAAAAGAGTAGCAATACACCTTGTGTGCATATATATCTATGTTCAGGTCGAGAAAATGTGATAGGGAAATTTACAGGCAGCTAGTAATAAGAATTCCTTTTTCAATCTAATAACTTAATAAGAATTCCTTTTTCATTTGCTAAAAATAATACTATTAATAATGTCCAGTATCTGAGTATCAAGAATGTAACACCCCGGTTTTAGCGATCCAGTTACATTAATCTTTTATTTTGTTTAGTCAGATGAATACGTTTAATTTATGAATAGTGTGATTTATTGTTTGATCATGTGTTGTTCTGGCAGGTAACGTTGACCGGTAAGCTCTAATAATTTCAAGTGATGAAATAAATATTATTCTATATTTAATATTTATTTTGAATATATTATTGAGACGGAGAATATAATAAATTAATTGGATCAATGATATTCTTATTAGAAGGTTAAGACACCCAAATCAGTTATATTGGCCCGAATTAGTATTTTTATTAAAAGCCCTAAGGAGTATTACACATACGTGGTTCTCCAAATCTCCAATGGTAGCCGCCGCTCTCTTGTCTTCTACCTCTCAAAGTTTTTGATCTGCCCACTATACCGATCAATAGTTCTTCCTGGGTTTTGAGTCATCATCACTATCGTCTATGTTCTCATATCCCATCTGGTATGTTCAATTCTTCCCTTGTAGTCACGTTTTTGCTTGTAAAGATGGATTAGCTTGGAGTTGCATCTAAATATTTTGAGTTTTAAACTGATTTTGTTAAAAGGGGGAGCCGTAGAGTTGAATTGATGTTGGTGGGTGGGTAATTTTATACCCTCCGTAACAGAAGGTTTAATTTTAATGCCAATTGAGTTAAAATAACCATATAACCTAGTTGGTGATAAAATGCATACTAAATTTCAGATTATAATAGTTGAGAAAATTAAATTTTCAGGTCAATTCTTCCTTTAGGAAACTTCTAGTTTGCAGTACTCTATTGCCACATCTTTCTTGCACAATATTTTCCTCAACTGAAGCATAATGCTTTTTAATCTATAATTCGATGAGCGCAAAAGTGAATTTGAGTTTTCTTAGTTTCATTTACGGTCAGACTTTGTTTAAGTTGTCATCAAGATGACGGGAAAGATTCAGTTTTTAATAGTTTGAGTCGCAAATCAATTCAAATTGGTCTTAGTTCATGGTGTGAAATTCTTTTTTTGAAACAAGACCAGTGATTAAATCTCCTAACCAACACGTGATATATTAGTTTCCTGATTCGACCATTTTGACAAGTTGTTTTGGACAGTGACAAGTTTTCAAATTCCCAAATTATCAGGAGAACATCAGACTAGAATTTATGATTTTCTATTGGGGCGCATAGCTTCCGGCTAGTAGGCTTCATGTTATGATTTTTATTTTGGGTAATAAGTAAGAATGGGAATTCTAACTTACATTTCATATATATATAATTAAAGACTCAAGAGGAGAGCTTACCGGAAGACGTTATCAAGGTGCCACATTATCTGAGTATTTTGAGTTCAGCTGTTAACAGGTAAGTTCACTACCACCTGTACATGTTTGTTCAACCAAATGCAAGAAGTCTGGTTGATTTTTAATAGATAATTTTAGACTATTTGCTATTATGTGAACTATGTGAATTATGTGATGAGTTATTTTATTGCTAGATTAAGTTATGTTTATTATCTGGCATAGTCAAGATTTGTTAGTACTTTCGTTTCCAGATTTAATGATGTTTAGTCAAACGTCACCATAAAAAGAACTAATACTTAAAGTGAAAGATTAAGTGATATGTACTCGGGAACTAGATCCCTCAGATTAGCAGTTTTAGTTTAGATAGTCCGATATGTTTAGTGGGTCGCTCCCCTGAGCTGTCGGATTGGCGCCATTGAGTACATATCACGGGCCCACAGAGTAAAATTAGCCACAAAGAGTTTTACAGAAAGTTTATGAGATCTTTTTCAGAAAGTTGCTTTTGAGATCTCTTTCAGAAAGTTTTACAGAGATGTTTTTAGAAATAAACTTTGAGATCTCTCCAGCAGTTTTGAGAAATTACTTTAGAAAATATTTTCCTTATGAGATCTCTCTCAGAATGTACTTGAGAAATTATGTGTTAGTTATTTGTTCAGTGCATGCTTATAGCCTAAATTTATCTATTGATAAATTGGCATAGACTTCTAGATATTTTTGTGGATCCATAGTGACTTACTAAGCGTAAAGCTTATCAGTTTCTTTCTTCGCATGTACAGATACTAAAGGTAAGGCCAAGGCTTAGGAAGGTGATGAGAGAGTGGAACGCGTGCCAAGATGAGTTAACGGGGACGACCTTGGCGGCTTCCAGCTAGCTATTATTATATTTCAGTATTTCAGTTATTATAAGAAAGAGTTTATTATTATTACTATTTTATTTAAGGTTTGAAGTTTGAATAAATTCCTGGATCCAGGTGGTTATCACAGTGATAACTAGATTTTATTGAGTTTTTATTTGGAGTTATATTTTAGTTATATTTGAGATTTTATCAGGGTTATTTCTTAAACAACGGCCGTTATATTGCAATAATTTTTAAAAAGTAGTATGCTAGTGTATCGTTTCCTTTAACCCTGAGAGGGGCGTTACAAAGAATGACTTTATTTAAACTATAAAGATGTGCTCTGCAGCATTTGGCTAAGTTTGCCAATGTTAGGGCTACAATTGAAAAGGGTCTGGTCCTAAAATTTCAGATTATTAACCTTCAGAAAAAGCATTCAAATCCAAAGTTTGTATGGATTCCATTAGATATTAAGGGCTTGTTTACTAACAGAGATATTTTCCTGTTTTCTACTTCTGTTTTTCGTTCTCCAATTTTCTGTTTTTATTTTTCAGTTTTTCGTTCTCCAATTTTCTGTTTTTATTTTTCAGTTTTTCTATCTCAAATTTTCTGTTTCTATTTTTTAGTTTTCCATTTTCAAATCTGAAAACATGTTCATCAATTTTTTCACTCAGTTCTCCAATTCCACACCCTTGACCCTTACCCTTACCACGATCTTACACTCTACCCATACTCCCCCACAACCCTTCATACCCACCCATACCTACTTGTAGGGGTCGGGGTAGGGAAGTTATGGGTGGGGGTGGGGTAAGGGGTATGGTCGGTGTGGGGTGATAAGGTCTAGGGTAGGGGGTTGGGTGGGGGTAGTTGGTGGGTTAGGGTCGTGGTTAGGGGTAAGGGTGGGGTAGTGGGTAGGGTTTGGGGTAAGGTAGAGGTAGGGTAGGGTATGGAGTTGGGATATGATGGCGGTAGGGTGGGGCTGAGATAGGGAAGGGGTAGGGGGTGGGGGGTAGGATGGCGGTAAGGGTGGGGGTAGTGGGTAGGGTTGGGGTTGGGGTAAGGGAGGGGTAGTGGGATAGGATGGCGATAGGGTGGGCCCGAGGTCTGGGTGGGGCCGAGGTAGGGGAATGGTAAGGTGGGGGGTAGGATGGTGGTCGGATAGCGGGAGGGTGGGGGTAGGATGGCAGTACGAGGGTTGGGGGTAGGATGGCGGTGGGGTAGGGTGGGTAAGGTAGGGTAGGGTAGGGTACGGGTAAGGGGTAAAGTACGAGGATGGAGGTATCGGAACAGAATCGACATCGGAGCGGGACCGGACCCACCACTAGGTGTAAGTATGCAAATTCATTGCAGCGGCACTGTAGTATCTGCGTTTTCCAAATTTGAAAAACTAGTAAAAGTCACTTCTCCAAATCATTAAGAAAAAGAGAGACATGTCTCATTTTTTCCGTTTTGGAAAACGATTTGGTAAACGCGTTTTTCTTTTTTCCTTTCTCCAGTTTTCCAGGAATTTCTTTGGTAAACACGTTTCCTGTTTTCTGTTTTTCAGTTTTCCAGTTTTCTAGAAAACTGAAAAATATCTCTGTTAGTAAACAGGCCCTAAGATTCGTAAACTTCGGTAGTATACTTGGTACAAGAAAATAATTGAATAGTTGAAAAAGAAACCAATAACACTAGGGGGTGGTTAACTCCATTCCTATCCCAAAAACAACAACATATTTTTCCCCAATCCCCATTAACTACAAACTTAAAAAAACTAACTAAACCACACAAATAAAGTACAAAATAAAATAACTACTAACCTGGACTACTATAGCAGAAAATAACAGAAAAAACAACTAATGCTTCGTGAAGTATTTTTTCAAGTTGGTGTCTTATTCATGTATCCAGTAGCAACTTTTTTATATATCTGTTGAAAATGGCCCTTTTATTTCTTCCTACCTGAAAGTCGCACGGAATTGATTATAATTTCAATCTTAAAAAATAGAAAAGCTGCTGAAAAATGGCCTGTATTATGTGGTTGCACTTTGATAATAGAATGGGGTCAGAGTTCTCACCATCTTCCATTTATCTTGAATATGAATCTTTAGAAATGATATATGAAGATTGCAATTTTATATATGATAGTCTAGTTCACGTAAGAAGATACATTCTCAACCTACATATGATAGTCTAGTTCAGGCCAGAAGATACATTTTATATATGATAGCAAAAACCAAAAAAATATTATGTCCATAGAGTTCAAAACAAAAACAAAAACCAAGAATTAAAAAAACGCCTTGTAAATATTATCCAAACATTGCTGCACCCATGAATCATATGGGGTGTAGTGCAATTTTATATATGATAGTCTAGTTCAGGTCAAAAGTAGCAAATATGGGCTAC